CTTGACATGTTTGGTGTCTTTTTTTTTTTTTGGGGTCCCGACGTGACCCCGTCTTTTATATTTTACCAAAAAAAGGGGTAATAATAAATGTTTTATCATTTAATATAGGGGAAACTGTTTTTTTTAAATTTCGGTAATTTTTCCTTAATATAGTAAAAAAATTAAAACCCCAGTGGTGAATAAATACCACCAAAAGAAAGCTCTATCTGTTCCCAAAAAAGGGTATAAAATTCATTTCAGTACATCGTTGCATGACGGAATAAATGTCAAAGTACCGCAGCGCTGAATACTGAAAAATGGCCTGGATGGGAAGGGGTTTAACACCGCGGATGTCAACTGGTTAAAGTAACTTTTTTTAATCAATTTCAATACATTATATCAGTCGCATTCATTTTTTTCTTGACAGACAAGCTGGTATACAGACACATATTTAAAAATATCTAATATGTACACGAGACTTGAAAAAAATGCTGTGTAAATATAACATTGAAATGTTTCTGAAAAACGACTTGATTAGTCACACTAGCATGCCTGTCTATGTTTTTCAGTGTACTGTTACTTGTGGGCATGGGCTGAGGTACCGTGTGGTTCTCTGCATCGATCACAGGGGAATACATACAGGGGGGTGCAGTCCTAAAACAAAACCTCACATCAAGGAAGAATGTACTGTACACATACCTTGCTACAAGATCAAAGGTAAGCTGAAAACCTGCACCATGGCCTGCAAGTAAACTTGAAACATAAGTCAAACTTTGTGTTATTTTTATAAACCTTTTATATTTTCATAAAGAGAAAAAATCATAAGTTGGAAAAATAAATGCCTCTTAAATCATAGCTTAACAGGAAGGACAGTTAATGTGTTTTGCCTTTTCTTATTTAAATTACCAGTATATTTTTACCATTTTTTAGTTTACATTTCATTTTTAGATAAATACCCTGTAATACAGTAACGCAGGAGCATGAGGCACAGACAAATAAGCTGTAGCTAGAACCTCACCATGTGACCCATAGGATTGGCAGCAGAACTCCGGGAAAAATGTTTCTTAACCCATGCAGTGGGGCTACCCTCGCACTGCAAGGGTTAACTGCTCATTTTTGTACAGGTGCTAAAATAAAAAAGTTATATTCCCCTGATCCGACTGGCTCTTAGACTGGTCCTTCCAGCATGTCCCCCCCTCCGTCTAAGGTCCCGTGATTCATCATGTCTAAACTGTGTATTGGATGAGAGGACACCAAGGGATATACCATCACTTGAGTGGAGGAGGTGAAAGGCTGGAGGGAGCACTGTGACAGCTGGCTGGCTCCGAGCATTGGGTGAGTATAACTTTGTTATTTTAGCACCTAGATCAAAATGAGCACCCCACAGTGCGGGGGTAGCCCTACTGTAAGGGTTAGGAAACGTTTTATTACTGGAGTTCTTCTTTATCTATTATTGACTGGATTGACCAAATGCATGCAGCCTGTACTCTGCATGAATACTAGCCTACACTTCTCATAATAATGAAAGCGCAGGCAGACAATAATCTAGATTGGCATAAGGATTTGGTCTTTTTTAAATGTGTAGAATGACAGTGACAATAACTTCCAGCACTGAATTTCCTGAATTTTCCAGAGTCCTATTAAAGCGGCAAAAATTCAACCAGTGTGGGGCCCTGTCCCCACCATTCCACTTGATGAAAGTCTGAAATTCTCAGCCGAACAGTGGCCACAGCCAAACAGCTGTAGTCACTGTTCAGGTATTATGAAAGCAGCACACCTACCACTGTCAGAAAACAGTAGCCCGGTGGGTGGCAGTCAAGCATTTTTTCTCATTCATCTGATGGGGGCTGGAGGAAAAAAAAGGATAGGTGTATGGCCAGAGTAAGGCGGCTTGGTAGAAACCTGCATCAGGTTAAATATTCAAAGTAGCCAAACTAGCCAAACTGCAAGTATTTTGCTGGTACATCTTTATCAGTGTCCATGTTGTATGATTTCATGGTGCACACTGTGTCATACATTAAGACAACTAATTTTACCATTTAAAAAAAATAATTACATAACATTATACATTTGCAGTGGTATCCTTCGCAGGTTTCTTGGGTCTGTGTGGGAGTCTATTGATTGGACATCTAAAAAAATATTCTTTTGTGACACTACTTTTACCCTTATAGGTCTCCAGAGCAGG